AAGTCTTTTGTCTGTTACTAAAACCTATTAGTTACCTACTTGTCTGTTTTTATAGTGTAAGCAAAGAAAAAAAATGTTTTAACAGCAAAAATAACTTTAACAGCATATATCAATTATATAAGTTTGTATAGACTAAAAACGGAGCTGCAATTGCTGTATGTTTAAGTTTTCCTTTACTTTATAGGCTAAACACTGTGTTTAACATTTGAAGTCTATAAGCGTCTATTTGAGTTCTAAGGAACATTCAAGACGTTCTTGTTCTGAATGTGTCAAGGGCTGCTCTCTTTGTTTTTAAGTGTGCCTAGTCCAGCGAGTGATGGTTTTTCGCTCACAATTTTTTTAAGAATGATGGATTTTGCTAAAATTTTGACAGTAAATACCGTAAAAACTAAAATCTACCCTATGCCCATGTGTGCTTTTTCACTAGGGGTGAATAACATCCTAATTAGTGAGGCAAGACAAAAAAAAACACGAATCAATAGAGGAATGAATTCTAAGCTAAAATGTTCTAAGGAAGTTCTTCGAGAAATCAATGCGTTTCGAGGTATTCGTGATCTAAAACGTCAATATTTTTCGAAAAACATCACGTTTTTTAAAGGTTTTTAACAAATAACTCAAAAAATATTGATTTTATCAAAAAAAAACTGTAGTAATCAAAATTATAGTTTATAAAAAACAAAGAATTTCGTTTTTATTTTTTAATGAAGGCCCAATACCAACAAAGTTATGGCTTAGTGAAGGTAGGCCTTATTTTTTAACAAAAAATAAAAAGTTTTCAACATTGCAATTCGAAAAAACCATACATTTCACGATGAAAGTGCTTATATTTTTTTAAAGTACATTATAATACCTTTAAAATGCGTTTTCATAAAGGCCTCTGCCATAAAAACTGACGGAGTTATGGAGAAAACAGTTGGTTTTGATTTTTACAACAAAAATCAACAATGAAACCTTTCCCATTATCACACTAATTGGAATTAAATGTAACATATTTACAAATTAGTTTATTTTAACCTTAAAAATATGATACAAAAGTTTGACCAGTTTAAAATGCTTATTTTTTTTTTAAATAAGTTCAAAGTGGAATAGGTCTTCTTATAACATATCAAAACATTGTCTATTTTCAAAAATACCTCAGATATTAAACCATATACGTAAAAATTGCTAGGGTACAAAAAGTCTCACATTGTCATTCACAAAAATATTATTATTTTATTCACAAAGTTTTTTTTACTGTAGCTCACAAAACATCCGATATATGGCTTGTCAAAGTTTATAAAATGAAGGGTTTGTGAAAAATAAAACTTACATGAGCTTATAGGCTAAAAATTCTCTACAAAATGGTCTTTTTATCTCTATCGTCTAAAATGCAACCGAGTAGATATGAAAAAAAAAAACGCATATTTTTTTAAATTTTGGTATTTCATAGTGATCTTATCATCAGCAATTAGTCAAAGAGTCTTGTTTGTCTGTGTATGTATGTGTGTGTATTATATATATGTGGAGTCAAATTATCATTGCTTGTTCCTACAGTTATTGCTCTAAATGAGCATACGCAATGATGTTATCTGCAGATTTAAGTTTGGCTGGGAAATAAAAATATGAAACCAACTGATTGGGGGCGGACAAAATTGAAGGGTCCTTAAAACCTACAGTAATGCATAATACTCCAGCACCACAAGAACTTTTAAAAATGATATTCTATAATTGCACAAAAGGGTGTGGTGCATCTTGTAGCTGTGGAAAGTTGGACTTTTCTGCAACACAGCTTGTGGTGAACATCCACCACAAGCTGGTCAAAACTATCAGAATAGCGCTCCAATTATAGACCAAGACGATAAAGACATCGGTAGTGATGATGATATTATATTATGATATAACATTATGATATTATTTTGGGTATGAAAATTAATTATAACAATTTTCTTAAGTTGTATACTATTTAAAATACTAACTACTGTTTTATTAATTTTATCTCCATAGAGGGGTTTTAAAAGGGTATAAAGAATAAATTAGGGGTTGAAAACTCGCAAGTAGTGTTTCACACTATAAAACTATCTTTAATCAAAATCTATATTCATTATTTCATTTACAAGCCAGTGAAACTAAAATTTACAAATTTCAAATTGTAAAAGCCTGAAATGGTTAGTGATAACCGTTTTTTTTTTGTATTTTCTCACCATTATTTCGGTAAATTATAGGTATTGCCACAGACAGAGACATGGTTAATGTCGGAAAATAGACATGATTATTTTTAAGTAACCAAAACTAGAAACCATTAGACTTGGAGTAGAGCTTAAAAAAACAACAATAACAGTCACACAATCAGTGAAGCAAAAATTTTGTTCCTAGTTGTCCGCAATTATGATCGTCCTTTATTATAATATCCGCAACAAAGGTTTACCAAAATCAAAAAACTAGAAAGAGTCTACTTAATAACAAACAGTCACCGTGGTTTCAGGTCCATTACTAAATCTATAACACTAGAAAATCACTAATATGGATGGATGGATGAGTTTTTTTATTGTATGTTAAATCTATACTAATATTATAAAGCTGAAGAGTTTGTTTGTTTGTTTGAACGCGCTAATCTCAGGAAATACTGGTCCGATTTGAAAAATTATTTCAGTGTTAGATAGCCCATTTATCGAGGAAGGCTATAGGCTATATATCATCACGCTAAGACCAATAAGAGCGGAGCACCAATGAAGAATGTTTCAATAACGGAGAAAATTTATTACTATTGAGAGACGCAGACGAAGTTGCGCGGGTCAGCTAGTCATATATAATACAGATAATTCATTTTATTTCATACCTTTCTGGAAAAAATATAACTATAAGAGGAACAAATGTAACATATGTCAATATTAAGAACAAGCCATTTAGGTTTTCAAAAATTAAAATTCTTTAAAAAAGTGTTAGACAGTATATACAAATATTTGAAATGGTTGTATGGGGTTAAATATCGATAGAGAAGTTAAAACTATTTAGTACCTTTCATCTTTTTTATCGCAATTTTTTTAACATTTGTCTACCTTTGTACAACGTCTTAATTTGTATAAGAGACAATGGACAATACGTGTTATAAAAAATCATAGAATGTTATCCATAAAATTGCGATCGCTTTGCGAACTCTGTTGTCATAATAAAATAACAATCCTAATTTATTTCTTTAAAAGTGTGCATCATGCACAAAAGATGATCTGATCACATCATCTTTTGGTTTTTAAGTAGACAATTAAGTCTTAATTATTACACAAGCTTAATCTCGTAAATGTGTATTGACATAGGTTTGTTGAATAGTTTCTTTTTTGTCCCGCTAATTTAAATTTTACACATTTCTCGGGCGACAGGACAAGTAAGGAGATGGAAATTTTCCGCGGCGGCACATTTTCTTTTTGTAGTACAGCCGAAAAACACTACATGGTGGCACAAAATACACGAAATACCTGCCTAGATACAATTTATCGTGTTAATGTAAATGAGACTGTAGTACATATAATGTAGGGTTTACGAACTGTTTATTTAGGGTTGCTGCAGTTTTCATACTGATTTGGTATCCATTTAGCCAATCTTGAAATATAAAGGTAGGTAAAGCAAATTAAAATTATGTAAAGTTCAATTATTTACGCTGAAAATAATGCAAAAAATAACAGCTAACGTAGGTACATCACTTAATTTAAATGAATATTAACTTTATACATTTCAATATTATTTGTTTAGAAAAGAAATTGAAATTAATAAATTGTAACTATTTAATTTATTTAATTCATGCAATGACCGTTCCATTTTGAATCACCTATGCTATACTTAAATTTTGAAAAGTAAATATAAAATCCGTCACAAAAAAAAGGAGCTTTAAAATTTTTCACAGCACAACAACTATTTATTTTTGTAGTGTTATATCAGAAGTATTAGTGCAATTTAGCTCAAACAATGCGACCTTACTCGATATAATAAAATCGGACCAAAGAGCTTATAACAAAGTTCCTTATGTAGGTACGTAAGTGGTTGTCTCGATGACGAATACCTGTTGAGTAACGATTGAAAAAGCGAAACCTTCGACTGCGCAGTGCTGACAATACTTTACCAACTTTCACCTAGGTATTCAATTTTAAGTGTCAACTTAACTAAAACTTAAAAAAATGAATATTAACAGTTTTGTTAATAGCGTAAAGAAGAACGTGAATCTCCGTTTTGCACTCCACAAACCAACAAAAAAGGCTGCGTAAGTGCTTGTTTTTAATATTATTCAGTAGTAGATATATTTTCTTCTTGATATATCAAAACCATTTCAACTTTATAATGTACATGTACACCAGGAATTGAATAGAGGTTTTGAACATTTTTGAGAATTATTATACTATTTCTGGTCACGCTTGTGGCGCGTTGTTGTTATTCCGAACATTATTATTTCAAGGTTGCCCGGCCGTCGCAGTGAGGTTGCGTAGTGGGGCTCCTCGGTAGGCGTCGTTCAACTGGTATCTCTGTCCCTCTTTTGCATTAAGGTTCAGCTTACTCAGTACTTGGCATTTGATATGAGTCGCGTCAATGCGAACATAACTATTCCTTGATAGTCAGTCCATTACGATAGTGTACATCTTCACCTGCTTAGTTTTGATAATGCGCTTATGTGTACATAAAAACACCTATTTAAACTTGAATAAATTCAACACTGTACCGCTCGCTTGGCAACAGAGATGAATCACGCTAGTGATTTTTATTAATTTCTATATTGGGGAATCGTTTTAATAAATAAGTATGCTTCCTTTTTATTATTTACTTAAATTCAAAAGTAGAGATTTATTTTCCACCACCACTGTTTCAATATTTTAAGCTAATGTTACAAACGTGTGTAAGCCGATATAATTGATTTAGTTTACAACAATGCCTCAACTAAGTCATTACTATTTCATTATTCATCACCGCAACATATTTATTTTATACACAACAAAACCATCCTACTTAATAAAAGTTTATTTTGTTTGCTGCTTCTGTAGAATTGAATCCTGTGACCTCCAACTGGGAGACACATGGAGGGGGATGCAAGGCAAGATGAGCGTGACAGCGCCGGTTAAGAAGATAAGAAAAAAGTCAGACAATAAGCCACAAGCTCAAATGTACGTATAATACGCTTGAAATGTGTATTCATTGGTGGAAATGTCTGGGTTTTTGCGGCTCGCGGTACCTCTAAAGCCTACTTCTGACTTACTATACGAAGCTTATTTTCATTATCATTTAGTTTTATTTTGACATTCATTTGTTTTAAACTGCACTAAATATTAAAGATCTGTTCCAGAAAATTAATTTTGCCTCTATATTGATTATTACCTTCACTAATACATCTTAAAACTTCATAAACTCTAACAAATACCAACATTTTATTTTAAAAAAATAGTAATACCAGATCAATTATTAATCACGAAACATCGGGTATATTTCATGATGTTAATATTTGCTTTACAATAAAAAGAAAAATGAGAGCAAAATTAAATTTTGGCTATAGAAACTACCTTACAAAATAAATTGTTTAAATGTTTCATGTTCATAATATATATTTATTATTATATATACATAGTATTTACGTGATAAAAATTTTGCTATTTTATATAACTATAAATGTTTACCACCCTTCCCCCCCCCCCCTGTGGCTCCTGACTGTTGTACTGATTTGTTCCGTTTGAGTTAATAGAATTATTAACTAGATGTTTAACTGAGATCATATACCCAAATTATTGTATTCGATGACGACATGTTAATTCGTAAGACGACAAAAATTAATGAGTTGAAATATTATGAATATATTATATTAACTCAATCGGCATAAATTGTATTTAGTAATAATTGTTGTTTTGGTAAAACTGAATGGATTAAATCCATAGTAATTGGATTGTGTCCAACATTGTATTTTTATATGAACGCATGTGAATGTTCATGTTCCTATTTGAATTAATGTGTTAAAATAATGGTATACATTCAAATTGTGAAAGGAGTAGTTCTATTCAATCTGGTAAGACGCCAAACTTTATACATTTTAATATCATTTGCTCAAAGAAGATATTGAAGTTTATAAATTGCGACGCCAAACCGTATAATCCATATTAGCCGTTACATAATTAAGAATGTCTATTAACTTTTTTTAAGTATGTTGTATTTGTATCCGTTTTAAACTAAGCACATTAAAAAAAAACTCTCAAGTATCAAACGGTCACCCCGCGGGATATGACCTGGGCTAAACATTATTTATCCTTACAGATTAAGCAGGTTTAAAAATATAATAATAACACTAATCAACTGCAAAAAACATAGTAAGAATAAGATAGGACTGAGTAGGTATATAAGTTCTCCTTTCTAAAGACTTTCCAGTAACGGACTAGTAAAGGCTGTGGATGGGTATCAGTATACTCAAAATGTTTCAGGACATTCTATACTTTGTACCAGTAAAATATTAATTACGTCATATTAGATCTAACACTTGCTAAATATTTAAATTCGGAAAATTTGAATTTATTTAGACGGTAGATGTAAATTTTAAGTATTGATATTGCACTAATGTTTGTAAATATACTATATATAAGATTAAGATTTAGATAAATATATATAAATCAACACGTGTCTTGTTGATGCAAATCTGATAGTAAATGACTGTATGTAGTATTTATGCGCACTACGTTATTAAGGAAAGGTTTAGTGCATTAAACTTGAATGTCTGGAATCCTGAAAATACCTAGGTTTCACATATCTGCTGCTTTACCTGTCATACAAAATAGATGTGTTGGTTTAAAGTAAGAAGTTTTGGTAAACCTGTAATATGGATCGAACTAAAAGATCATGTTAGTAACTGCAAACTTTGATCTTATAAATATTAAAAAAATAATTTGGAAAAAAATCGAAACCTACAAAATATTCAGATGTCTGTCACGGATACACGGCTGCGTTCGGCTGACCTTACCATACCTAAGTCACCTAATGGTTTACCACTTTCAAGTGGTTCTGAAGAAAGCTAAAATTAAGGAGGAGATAATTGCAGCCCTTAATTATACAGAAGAACTACTCAATGAGTACAGAAACAGAAAACTTTTTAGCGAGTTATGAATCCCCACATGTTGACATTATTATGAAATTATTGCAACCTTTTCGTTATGAAATCGTCTTTGAATATACACTGTTTTGAAGTCGCATTTAGATTTGTTCCTGAGGAAATGCGAGTTATGTGTGATGATTAAATATAAAGAGCAATTTCACCCAGATCTACATTTAAGTAGAAAACGATATCACTTGCGATGCTTTCAGACTTATCTGCAAGCATCGTCTGATAGGTTAATATAGAAAACCACACAACGAACTACACCAAGCATAGTGTACCAACCACAAACACATAAATAAAAAACGATTGAGTCTAGTCTAGGAGTTTAGTCGAAAATAAACTAATGTAAGTTTAAAAATTGGTATAAAACGTACAATAAATAAATATGCCTACACTACCCTGGAAGAGCCATGCCTGGGCACAAATTGTCCGACCGGCTCGACCGGAGTGATACGGCCTCACAGAAAACCGCTATTACACTGTTCCTTCCTTGCTTTCCACTGAATGAGTGGGGTAACCGGAGCCCAACCCAACCCTTCCATCTAATTCAGGGGGAGGAGACTCACTTAAGTTGCAGGTGCCCATGGGCGGCAGTCGTCACTTATTGTCAGGAGACCTTCACGTCAGCTCGTTTGTCCTCTATTGCTGAAAAAATAAAAATAAATTTCATCTTAAATTGTAATGTGATAGAAATGTTTTTTCGACTTTCTTCATTATATCCACCTCACAAACATTAGGTACATTTTATTTACAATATAGAGAAAAATATATTTCTGCTGACTATTATAATTCATATGTTTATTAGTTTTTATTTACTACGTACATCATTTATTTGTGAATTTAGCCTCTTCACATAGATTTTCTTTTATTTATAATATGTAAGGATTTTCAAGTTTTTAAAAAAAAGTTACTTGTTTTTTTTATTAATTAGGTATATTGATGTATATGTAGTAAAGGGTATTAGTAATTCAAGTGGCACATAACTTAAGCATCTGATCTGCAGGTACAGAGTACCATTCAAAATAAAATATTAACAGAATGTTAGGTAGTGGTAGGCAAAATATTACTAAATAAATACATTTTACAGTAATCAATTATTTGGTAAAATGTGGATACAAAAAAATTTGGGCGGTTTGGTAGTTAGTCTAAAAAACATAGGCATTAAAGAAGTTTTTTTGATGATTTGGACAGCCTTTGGATGTACAGCTAGTAGTATAGTATGCTACCAAATTTTCCCCAAACGAAACCAAACCAAACCAAAAACCATAAAAAAATTACAATGGTGTTAAAATTAATAAATGAAATTTAGTTGGCCATGTTCTATTTTGGTAAAATCAATGTTGCAAGAACTAAGTAGTATTCCATAATTTTGTTGGAGTTCGCATTATCTCTAATTTTATTACAATGTACGAGGGCGGGTCAATAAGTCCGTGACTTTTGGAATAAAACACAGATTTTTTGATAAATAAATCATTTTATTTTTCAACGTAGTCTCCCTTGAGCTCTATACACTTTGTCCAACGCTTCTCCAATTTTTTTATCCCTTCCAAAAAATATCATTTGTCGAGGTCCTCAAAATAGGCCTTTGTTTGCGAGATGACTTCATCATTGGAGTCAAATCTTTTTCCACCAAGCCATTTCTTCAGGTTTGGGAACAAGGAGTAGTCACTCGGAGCCAAATCTGGAGAATAGGGCTGATGAGGGAGCAATTCATAGCCCAATTCATGGATTTTTGCCATGGCAACTGCACATGTGTGCACCCTTGCATTGTCTTGGTGGAAAAGAACTTTTTTCTTGGCCAAATGAGGTCGGTTTTTTTTCAAATCGTCATTGAATCGGTCCAATAAGTTGGCATAATATTCCCCATTGATTGTTCTTCCCTTTTGAAGGTAGTCAATGTGGATCATCCCGCGTGCATCCCAAAAGACAGTCGCCATAACTTTATTGGCTGACAAACCCACCTTGGCCTTCTTTGGCGCCGATTCACCCTTAGAAACCCACTGTTGTTTGGTTTGACTTTTGTTTGGTCTTTGGTGTGTTGTGATGGATCCATGTTTCGTCCACGGTTACAAAACGGCGCAAAAACTCCTCCATATTGCGATTAAACAACGCCAAACCTTCCTGTGAAGTTGTTACACGATTGCGTTTGTGGTCGACTGTGAGCAATCGCGGCACCCATCTTGCGGAAAGCTTTCTCATGCCCAAGTGATCATTCAAAATTGAAACCACTGAGCCATGCGAGATCCCTACGGCTTCCACAATCTCTTGCACTTTCAATCTTCGGTCGGCCAACACCATATCGTGAATTTTTTCGATTGTTTCGGGTGAAGAGACCTCAACTGGGCGTCCAAGACGTTCATCATCTTCAGTGCTTGTACGGCCACAACGAAAATCAGTAAACCACTTTTTTACCATTGAAATCGATGGTGCAGAGTCCCCATAGTATTTATCAAGCTTAGCCTTGGTCTCGGTAATGGTTTTTTTTCGCAAAAAATAATGCTTAATAAGCACACGAAATTCACTTTTTTCCATTTTTTCCTCAAATTACTGGGTAGTCTGATAAAGATAGCTGTCAAACACAAACTAACTGACGCAGCAAGTTCCAATTTTGACAGGAGTCAACTAACAGATGCCTGTTGACAGGAGTAGTGTTGCTTTTTCAGTAAAGAGGTCAGAAATTCAAAAAGTCACGGACTAATTGACCCGCCCTCGTATTATACAGTAAATATATTTACTTCTCTAAATCGAATCATACTCCATTTTGTGAAATAAATATATTTACCTACTCTATACAGTCCAGACAGAAAATTATGCCAAGATACATATCTTGGCATAATTTTAGGCGCATGGCAGCAACGCCTTTTACAATGTTGTAAGAAGAATGAAAATAAGGTTTGTAGGATATTTAAACAATGAACTATCTCTATTAATTTAAAAATATTAAAAGTTATTTTCTTACTCATAAGTCTTCCTTAAAAGTAATATGTTAATGCCACTGTAATATTTAGTTAATGTAATATATTATACTTACCATTAGGTTGGTATTTAGTTTGTGGCACACCTTATTGGGGTAAGCTATTTTGGGTGTCAAATAATCGCATACTCATAGTGTGTTGTTAACAATGTTACCTCGGTACCGTGGAGCTTGTAATAGTTATTGATAAAACTATTAAAAAAAAGGAAAATTAAAATGTGCCAAAAGACAGAAAGATCGTGTAGAGGTTAAGGGGCCTATTTAACTTAAGCTTAAAATACTTATTATGTGTTATTCTTTAAAACTAGACACCAACTAAGCATTACTTCTGATATAACAGAACACGGGTACACATGCTTTGATACATTTTTTCTGCAAATACATGCTCATATACTTATTATCCATCGTTTTACATTATGCATGTCAACAAAGCAGTTGCACTGAACTAGAATGGAAACTTCGGCCTATAACTTTACAGTCAGATGTTCAGGCGCTGTGCCGTAGACATCGTTTAATAATGTCGTAAATACGTGGGCATATTGAAAGTCTCTGAATTTGGTCACTCAAGAAAAAATAATGAAAAAACAATTACGGAATTTTGAAAAGTGAACTAGAAATATGTTACTTTTAAATTTGTCATTTGTTTTTTTATTGTGACGTCCTTTCGAAAATTTCTTTGTCCCTATCAAAACGAATTTAACTAGTTAACATTTTCGTTCAATGTTTTTTTATGATTTTCCTCGTGGCTTAAGTCAACAAGAGAGTTGCCAGAGGCTTCAATTGGCATTTGGTGATGAAGCACCATGTCACAGCTCTGTGTATTCGTGGTTTGGAGAATTCAGACGTAGACATGATCATCTCCAATAACGAGGTACGTGAAAGTCGGCCGGTGACTGCGGTTACATACTGAAATATTGACACCGTACGACAAAAAAAAATACTTGCCAGCAAATTCGTGTTAGGTATTGGAATGAGCCAAGTGCAAAACACTGTGCACCTGAAAGTTCGGAAGCTTTGCACTCGATGGACACCTCATGGCTACGTATCCAGTGGTGAATTGATAAAAAAGTTTAACGGAGGACAGTCATTGGCTGTCTATAATATCGTAACAGGTGACAAAACCTGGGTGTACTGCTTTGAACCCAAAAGAATAAGCCAGTCGGCAGAGTGCGTCTTTCCTTTTGAAGATTTGCCGACGAAGGTTAAGAAAAGTCGAAGCATTGGTAAAAAAATGGTTGCTTCTTTTTTCGGCAAATCAGAACATTACACTACAGTATCGTTTGAAAATCAAACGACAGTGACTGCAGATTGGTACGTCAACACTTGCTTTGTCTTAGAAAAAGCTCGCGAAAAACTTCCTCTATGCAATGTCCTCCTTCACCACTATAACGCATCCTCACATTCCGCTAAAGTAACAGAAGCCTATTTGAAGGCTTTAAATGTGGAACTGAGGACAAATCCGCCTTACAGCCTGGACCTCGCACTCTGCGGCTTCTTTTTATTTCCAAAAATTAAAGACAAACGTAGAGGCACACGTTTTATAAGCCCTAAATCGGCGGTGAGTGCGGTCTATGAAACCATTGAAGAGGTCCCTAAGGAAGACTAATCCAACTGCTTTGTACAGCGAATGCAAAAATGCATTAATTGCGAGGGAATATACTTAGAAAAACAATAAATGTATCGTAAGTCTTATCTCTATTCTTATTTATCAGAATCCAGAAATTTTCAGTATGCCCTAAGTAATTTTTTTTTTTTTTTTTAAAGACAACACCCGCATTAGGAATAAATCCTGTGTCGCGGGGGACTTTACAAGCATACATGAAACGGACACAAAGAACACCCAGACTCAGAACAACAATTTGTGGATCACACAAAGTGTCGTCCCATGTGGGGTTTGAATCCACAACACTCGGCGTAATAGGAAGCGGCGTGGCGACCGCTTAAACCACTACGCCATCAGTGACAAAAAAAATTACTATTAGCATCAACTTCTGAAGCCCTTACACCGCCGTCGCACTGGTGGCAAATAATTCCATTCGCTTATAGGATAACGACCTGTGGAATAAGAAGCATTTATCAAGTTTCTTTTTCTAGTCTTTTCAATCTTTAACACTTTTTTTTTAAGTTAAACATTTGACATTATTTTTATCGTAATTCCGTCTTAAATCTCAAACTATTGGCTTTCATTAATTATTGATTGATATCGGAGCGTAGATATCTTCAGTAATGTCTCATTTAATTTCTGTAAAAATTATCTAGGACATGTTAGACATTTATACTGACAAGAAATGCGCACAGCATTCGCTAACGGCCGCATCTAATCATAAGTCATTGCATGTACCTCTTGGCCCCTGTCTTGGTACTTTTATTTACTTTCATTCTGTTCGTGAACTACCCTTTTTAATCCTTTTCGCATGATCTAACACATTTTAAGTGAAGATTTAATATCAACAAGGTTTATCTTAAATTCTGGTGACTTTTTTCTAAACTACAATAGGAAATTTCTTATCTTACTGTCTTTTAATGTGTCATTCAAAATACATCTTGCACACGTAATCATTTTACTTTTTTAAATGTGTAAATGTGCCACGTTGTGTTTTCTGCAATGTTACCTATTCAATGAGTTATGGAATTATAGGTATATATCTTTTTTATAAATTAAAGAAAATTTTACATAGTTTGACTTGTTCTTTGCTGTAATTAAAATTGTATGTCATTATTTAAATTTTAAGGCAGATATCATAGTATTTCTAATAATGATTTATTTAAGCGGATTTAAAATAGTTTTTCAATTTATCTAGTAAAATATATATATACATACAAATAAAATACACTAAGTTAAAGTATATATATAAATTATATAAATATATATATAAATTATATAAATATATATATATATATATATACTTAGTGTTATTTAATGATAATGTACTATATATTCCTTTTTATGTTTTCAGAAATAAGTGTAATAACGAAAAAAAGCGACGGGAACTTGAAAACGAAACCATAAATCAACTTGAAGAGCTCCTAGGCACTTGTCTCGCGGAGGTCAAGCAGCCGGACAAAAACGGCATAGTACGTGAGGCCACGCGACAGATTCAGGAGGTGCTGAGGCGTAGGCGAGAGTGCCCTAACGAGTGCCCTGTTCGAGTAGCCCAGTGCCTCACGCCCGTGCAAGCTGGGGAAGTGAGCTCCACCCAGCCTTCGTGCGTCGGACTACATTATTCGGAGCTGACTTCACTCATTGAGGTATTTCATTACTTCCATTTTGCAAAGCTTTTTTAACAAACATAGTTTTGGTTCACATTGCCTATATACGAATAAACGAGGCGAAGTATATAATGAAGAACCCAATTAAAATAATAGAAAAAACCCGATTTAAAAATTGTTTGGTCCTTTGATATCACGTGCTCAGCGTGTGTTGTTGTTTTGAGGTTCTTGAAACAACATTCTAGATTTATAACTAGAATTTGCAACTGCTAGTAGACGAGTCATCATCATCAACATCAACAACCTTTAATACTCCACTGCTGGACATAGGCCTCTCCTTAGAAAGGAGGTTTTGGCCTACTACACCACGCTGGCCAGACGGGTTGGTATAGGGTTTGTGTCAAGGTTTCCTTCTTTTTGCAGTGCTGGTGTCATGCGTTGTTTTGCGCCCTTAGTCGGCTCTTACGACACCCCCGGGATGAATTGGGGTAGTGACATTCCGTATTCTTAATCCGTCACTATATAGCATAAATATTTTTTTAAAATCATGGTGATCTGATGATTTTGCAAAGATAACACACTCTTTGCCGTTCTTTGTACCTCGATATGTAAAAGATGGAGCAGGAATTCTGTCATAATGTTATGCAATAAATACGAAACGTTCCACGATTTTTATAATGTGACTACGTCTACATTTAAAGTCATACTCTTATCATTATTAAAGGAGTAATTTTGATTAATTTAAAATTTTAAATGTTTCCATGTAGCTTTGTGATAGACTAAGAAATTACTTTAGTTGACCGCAATCCCAAAAATTCGCCTTAAGGACCGTGGTTAGAAATGAAACCCACGCCCAAGCAACACACGGACAATTTTTATTAACTTAATCGATGATGATTATATTATTACAGTCTATTACAAAGTATTTATATATAAATGCCTTTTACACTCGTAGGTATTGTATTTATTGGTATTCACAAGTTTTAAGTATTGCATTTGCTTCTATATGCCACATTTGTATTCCGGAGAGTTTCGTGTGTGATTTGAGAGTTCAGAGGAACTGCAATGTCGTATCTTATCTTCGATTTAATAAATATAAATACCGCTCACCAAAGTTACATGTTATGTACTTTACATGTATCTAATAACTCGTTTCAGGCTCTCAAACATTATACAGGCACACTCGGTTGGGTTTTATTGGAAATAAACTCGAAGGCCGAAATAGAATGTATCACGGAAAATATTAAGGAATTAACTCTGCAGGACAGATCTGAGTTATATAAGAAATCTATATTTTCACTGTTACATGCTAAAGATCACGCAAAATTAAGGCCATTGTTAAGAAACACACAAACCTTTAATTGGGGTACCGGAGAAATAGATAAATTCCAAGCCATTCAAGCTCGTCTGATTGTCAAGGATTCCAATGGAACTGAGAGTGCTGGGTATGTGTTCGTTATTAATATTTTACACATATTGTCCACTGTTTTTATTTGCCTTTTTAGTCACATGTTAATGACATCGAGTTTTATCAGTTACCTTTACATAAAACTATTGAAAAAAACACAATCAAGTGAAAATACCAAAAGAATATTGGTCAGAGCCCTTCCATGTAAGCAGCTAATTACATTTATTGAAATGAAATCAAATAAATTTAGTCTGTATACACCTACAGTCGTATCAAAATCAGTCAATATGTCAAAGACATCGATACAACGGTGTAATACTCTTGATATGAAATATGTTTTGCCATTTCATTGTGATAGTAGATGGTGACGGTCGAACGATAAGAGGCCGATTACATGTAACTAATACGTATTAACGCAAAGTAATGGATATAACTTTACGACAATGAATAATTGTAAAGAAAAACATTTTGAAAAATATTCTACAACATTTTACAAATTTACGAATTTGTGGTTTTTTAACTTGAAACGAAAGGTTTTTCTTTCGAGGCAGTATTTAAGGGGTTATAACATTCTAGAATAATTCTTGATTTGAATGAAAAGACGTTGATGATGCTGTCAAGTGGCGTTAGGTGGCAAGTACAAGCAGAACAATGAGCTTCTAATTTGTTACTTATCGTGAAGGGTAACAGGGTAGTGCGAATTTTGTAGATACGCGGAGTGTGTGATCCACGCGACGCCGGTGCGCGGCTCATCTTCTGAGGAGGCCGGCTCCGTCATGTGCGTCATCCGGCGCTTTGAGGACGCGTCGGCCGCACTTATTCCCGGCGACGGCGGCCCACCCGCCATCACCGCCAAGCAATCGGATCACATTGTCTTCAGATTGGATTGCAACTTCATTATTTTATGTAAGTTCATTTCTACATGTTCTAATATTTTTTCAAAGCAAAAAAGTATTTTCATTGAAAATGTAAAAAGCATATAACCCCTATGGCCATTAGTAGACAAACAATAACTTATATCCATGTATTTTCTTATTACAGTTTGTGATTTAAGTGCAGTGGAAAACATAATAAACACTACTATTCCTCTCGTGGGCTGTCCTTATTTAGAGCTTGTGGAGAATAGTGATCGTATACGTGTAGCGGCACACTTGCAAGAGGCTGTGTGTCTTCCTGCACCACCCGCGATAAGTGAACCTTTTCGGCTTCGCATCGCCCCGGACAGACCGTTCTTCAGAGTTATCGCTCGGTCGCGTCTGTTTCGAGCAAAACCATCGTCCGGTGAACCAGATTTTATAATGTCCACGCACACTGTACTTGGCGACGAAGACATGGAGATTCTCGAAACGGAAGGTCCTAGACCTACCGTCGGTGGGCCACTCATGACTTCTGTAGCAAATGGAGAATCCTCTACCTGTGATCAACGATACCGCTCTTCTATGAGTCCCACCGACGGTCCCTTTCTCAACGATTTTGAACTCGATCCATGGACATCCTCACTTCTCGGAGACATGACGGCCGAGGAAACGAAACAGCGCAAAGAAATCGCAGCCGAAGGATCCTCGCAGCCCTTAACTCCCCGCGCTCCTCCTACACCGGTTGAGGGCATGCCGTCAAATCAACCAGTGGAGGAACCAAATAGACTTCGGAGCCTATTGAGCAAAAAGCCAATGCCGGGAAACGAGAGTACAGTGAACTCTAATAACCGTATCCTTAAGGATTTGCTGAAGCAAGAGGACGAGGAGGCTACGGGTAGTGAGATCTCGGCTCCGCACACACCCCATACGCCTCACACGCCGTTGACGCCGCATACACCTCATACGCCAGCTGCCGCGCTCTCGCCACTGCATACAGCGCAGGCGCATGCGCGACCTCCGCCGCATCCGCAGCATTCGCATATAGGGCCGCCCTCTCATCCTATGCAGCAGCAGCAGCAGCACCAGCACCACAATAATTCTGATGTCTTGTTAAGGGTGGTAAGTATTTCTAGTTTAACAATTTGTTAGTTTTTAATGATAAATTAATTAAATAGTGTGCGTTTGTTAGTCCTTTGAGAGCGAAAAACAGAAACGGTGAAACCCCTACCAGGTTATTTTTCCATTTGTTATTCATACGAGGAGCAACCTTCCGATCCATTTCCGGTCAGAACTACGATTCGCGAAAATTTAGGTCTGTGAAAGACCACTTCCAAAACTGGGGATACCAACCTGTCGTGAGTAGTTACGTGAAGTAACTGAGTGATCTAAACTTTTACGCAGCAATATCTTCTAGCGGGTTCTCCTTTCAAGATTCGTTAGATTTAAAAACTATAATATCCTGTTGGGTATTGTTATAGGTAACTTTTCAAGTTGCCTCATCATGAAGATAAATGCAGATAAGAAGGGTGTAATAAAATTTTCATTACATTGCACCATCTTTTTCATAATATTTTTAAATTTTTCTAATAGTGAAATACTATTAGAAAAATTTAAAAATATTATGAATATACTGATACGATTAATAATAATATCATTATATTATTCAATTATTTTTAGATATTAAATGACAAATCGGACGAGGATCTAGCGGAGAATAGAAGAAACTCTGGTGACGGTAGCAGAGGAGTGCAACCACCTAGTGTACTTTGCCAGCTGCTAGCTAGTAGTAACGGACCATCTGGTAATGGCCGACAGCAGGACAATAGTGAAAACTACTTAGAAAGGCTCGGTGTCAAACGCAAGTTCGAAGAATCGAAAGGAGTGGTCAACAATGTTAAACGAGCTACGCCTGAAAACCAGCAGGTGACAAACTTTTAATTATAGTAGGTGATTATATCGTTTTGACGTTGAAAAGTACTATTTTGTAGTGTTTAGTGGATTAAGCGGTCGCCATGCCGCTTACTACTACGCTGAGTGTTGGTTGTTTGATTCCCACATGGGACGACACTTTGTGTGATCCACAAATTGTAACCGCGAAACAGGATAATACATTCCTAATGCGTTGTCCTTAAAAAAAAGCTATTAATTAAATTTAAGGTTTTTTACAAAAATTGAGTTGGCTTGCTCCGCAATCTACCCACCACGACTTGCTTGCAGACTAATCAGTCTTAGCAGACTAGATATTAGATTGGTTGTGAGAACTAATAACAGAACACATTTTTTTTTAAACGCCGGGAAAGCATTTCGCACCATACCCTCCGTTGGGGAAACGCTAAATGCGGAAATCGGAGCCCACTACAAACACCAGATAGTGAATTAACTCTCAAGTTTTCACAACATCTTACAAAATCGCATGAATTTTTCTATTTCAATTGGTAACGCTGTAGAATGCGATTAAACATTAATGCTAGCTTCATAAGAAATCGGTTGTCGAAGACTATAATTCTCTAAAATTTTATAAAAGTCATTGTGTTTAGATTTAGTTATATCTACAATACTTTTAAAATAACAAACAAACAACAAAGATGCATAAAATATACATAAGATTAGCTATCTATCTGTACATTATTGCGTAAAATGAACTTCATAGCCTTCTTTAGGCAACTTTTGCGCACGAAGCATTCCGAAATTTGAAATACATAAAGGTGGCCAAAAGTGATATTATGTATTTCGATACCGTAATTGAAAAACCAGCCTACTCCACGTTTTATAATGACCAATAGATAACTCCAAAAACTGCTGTTATATAATATTATATTATTTCGGGATCGAAAGAATGTGAATTTTACATTTACTAAGAAGAAGTGCTATAGATAAATTTATCTCTCTATCTATTTATATGCTAATATAAATTTATCCTACTTAAATATATAAGAAGGATATATTTAAGTAGGATAAATTTATATTAGCAATATAAGTTGTCAACCAAAAAATTAGTGATAATGGCAACAAAAGTCTATACGTGACCGTATAAGCTTTGATCGTTCACCATGACCGAAAGAGTCATGGTGGTGAATGAGAGTGCTACTCATGTTAGAAATAAAACAAAACATTAAAAGTTCAATAATCTAATCTAAGTCTAGATATGCTCGAACCATGATCATCCGGCATTTTTGAAAAAAAAAATACGACTAAGAACTGAAACTATGCATGAATGAATTAAATGATTCTGTGATTGTCTCTATACATCTAATTATTTGTGTTGTAGGTAACATCCAGCGCACATTCAGCAGCTTCGTCGACAGCTTCTTCGACAGCGAGCAGCCCCGCGACCAGTAGTAGTGGGGGAATGATGAGTTCTTTGTGTCAGAAGAATCAGATCCTTGTATCGCTACTGGCTCGGCAGCAGACACATCCGACCACACCACTGCCGTCGCCTAACCCCAACTTGCGCGTATACCCGCAGCAGCCTGCCCGCCAGCGTCCTCCCGCGCCGCCGCAGATGCCTCAACCACGACTGAACATTAATTCGACGCTCTCCAACATACTCACGGGACCGCCGACTCAGTGAGTATAACTTTATTTACCTATAACTATGTATGTATGTATATGTATGTATGTATGTGTGAAATTGTTACTGCTGAAATTACGTCGTTAATTTTTATCTACACGTATTTTGTAACTGTCTTTTGCAGCCGAACAAATAACCTGAATGGTGGATTGGGCGTGGTGTCGACCGATGCCAATGTAGAATGTCCGTCAACCATGGCAAGCGTACAGAGCCACTTGCAACAAGTATTGCAAAGGGGTCCGGTAGGGATTTACCCTTCGGCAAACACAGCTTCCATACACTACGCGACTCCTGCTCCGCAACATGTCTACAATAATCAGACACCGTTAGTATATTTTTTTATTACAACCGTCGTGACCCGTCGTCGCGTCGACGTACGTTCATGTTATGAGATGAAATTCCAATGTTATTCCAACAGCTCGATCACAGGAATTTGAAATGATACCGAAATGTAGATTTTTATATTCTCATAATTTTAGAAGTGGCAGCACGCGGGCGCAAAGCGGCGGCGGCGGGGATAACGAAACCCCCAACGATCAAACACTTTCGGATATTCTAGACGAGTTCATCGATAACATGCCGGTTCCCGACGTCAACCTTCGACAGAGACCAGTAAATATACAGGTACTTACACATATATACCGTTTCATTGAACATCAAACCTTTCGTTAAATAGTAAATCTGATGACGTCTTATCCGTCGTTGAATACAGAAAAAGGGTATTCAATATTTCATAGGCGTTCGTTTGTATCGCGACGTCCGAAAAACCTAGCCCTCAAATCGAACACTCAGCACGAGAACTGTTTAGATTCACACCACATCGACGTACGATTTCAGGGCACGAGGGAGAAAAGTGCGATGATCAACGCGATCACACAGAGTCTGATGCAATGCGAGTCGGTCGCCAACCCCGCCGAGCCGAGTCCGGGCGCGCCGCCGGCTTACTCCGTCCGGAGCCCGGCCAGTCCCGGCGCGGGCCCGGCGGCAGCGGTGGCGGGCGTGGCGCCGGCGGGCGGCTCGCGGACGCCCACGCCGGCCGAGGCCGAGGCACGCGAGCGCTGGCGCGTGGCGGCCCCCCGCGCTCTGTACGGCAGCGACGCGTCGCGCGCACGCTCCCTGCTGGAGCAGCAGCAGCACCAGCACCGCGTTCGCTTGCTGCAGATGCAGCAGTCGCAACACATCATGGTGCCGCCTGAGGTTATTGTTTTAAAGTAGTACACCGCTTCTTACGTACTTACCTTACTTAAACTAACGTCGAAAATGTAGGCTCTCGTTCCTTGCTAATATTTAAGTTCACCTTTTTTTTTTTATTCCATCGTCTTTATCTACCAGATCGTTCTTTCATTTTACTGTATCTATTCCGCAGGCTTCCGAGCAACCCCAAGCGGACCTGGGTACCGCCCTCGTCTCGGTGACGGCACCGCCTAATGTAACTCTCACTCGCACAGATTATCACTTATATCATCACAGTGAGTACCCTGTCACCGTATACCCTCCGAGAAATTTATCGAACGAAAATAATTCCTAATCTCTAATTCGATTCGTTTTTCAACAGGTCAAATGAGTGGAAATTACGGTACAAATAAAATAACCACGTCGCAACAAAATCCAATGTTAAGCCGGCAACTTAGCGTAAGTTCAGTCGAAATGAACTTTTCAAAGTTTTTTATAGTGTGAAACGGCATATATAAAAGATGTATAAGTTATCGCTACAGGTGCCGGGCTCGGGCGCGTACTCGTCCGCGGCCGCGCTGCACACGCCCATGACGCCGCAGCCCTACCACCGGCCGCCTCGCCCGCACCTAGGTAACGACGAATGAACCACTACCGTACCTGTATGTTAAACACTATAAAATATCACCATTGCCAGTTTACTTATAAAATAACAAGTATACATCAGTTTATCATTGGAAACTATTTCGGTGTGCGTCGTGACTCGTTTACGCTAGGTCGTCCTTAACTAAGGAAAGCCTAAAATGGTTACACAGTGACTACACTTCTCAGTTTTGATCGATGCGAGTGTCCATGTCGAAAGGGCGAAGTATTTGATTCGATTGCAAAATGAGTCGATTGCCGCTACATTTAAGTCATTTAATATCCTAGTGTAAAAGAGATAGTCGTCACCGTAATCAAAATGTTATTAAAAATGTACATTTGGTGATGTTTTGTACGTAATAAGGAGCAGCGAGAACTATACGCCTGTTAGATGGTTAATCAATTTTAACATAAATGATACTAACGAAAGCTTCCATGTTTCGAAAGGTATTTGAGTTTTTAATGATATAAAATAAAGGGTGGTCTTGTGGTGTTATTTATATTATAAAAGTAGTTTTGCTTAGGTGATCAGTTATTTATATATTTTAATTTGAGGATTAATGCATCGATAGTATTTAGCTATTCTTTTTTACGCCTTTTCGATTAAACTAATATAAATAAATTGTTTTAGGGTAGATATAGATAACTAGATTTTTAAAATCAATTTTGTTTTAGTTAAGAGCATGAATTTTTTTGAGAATTCGCATGTCCCGTAGTATTTTAGAAACAGCGTGTACTGCCGAATTCAGGGTTAACAATCCTGACATTTTAAACGATAAATTAACTTTATGCATGTCTATCGCTTAACTATTCGATATCTTTGAAAATCTGACGAATGCAAATCATATCGAATATATTATCTCGGTCGATAGAGCAAGTTCTTGACATGGGGAGCACTCATTCTCCGTACGGTATTTTCGATACTTATACACGCCTGCGGTCGAACGACACCTCTAAAGCTCTCGACTCGACTTCATTGCCGATCCGCGTTAGTGTTCGGGCAGGCGCATCGAATTAGGTAGGTCGGTAGCACTCGCGGGTGAAAGATAGGCCACAGTTTATAACGTGGCGTGTGTGGCAGTGGGAGGCTACTACGAGGAGGGCGGCGGCTACTGCGGCGACTACGCGCGCTGCGGCCCGCTGCCGCCGCACGCGCCCCACGCGCCGCACGCGACTCACGCGCCCCACCCGCCCCACCCGCCCCATCCGACCCTCGACCATCAGCACGCATGTGAGTATAGCCGACGACGCCCCGCAGCCACACCACTATATTATGTCAGATCAAACTGATTTATACATAAAACTGATTCTTATTATTGATGAAGACCGAGCTCGTTTCGAAAAAGTCGCCGGCGGTTGAATCCAATAAAAGCTGCATCAGACCGAGGTGAGCGGTCAACTGGATTGGCCACTGAGTCACGTTAATTAGTTTTTCTTCTGATTACCTATCGCTCTGCATGGTTAATATTCTTTGCACTCTGCGCTTAAATATCCTTCGCTTCCCCGTAACGACTTCTATGGAACGACGGTACCGGCGCAATAGAGGCATGCGGTATAGCATTGCCAGGTACGAAGGTAGGCGGATAGTACAAATAGTGATCATTCGAGCGCGAACCGAAGGAATGTTATGTACAGGCGCGGGCAGCAGCGTGGGCGGCGGGGGCCCGGTGAGCGGGGGCGGGGCGGCAGGCGGCGCGGGCACGTCGGAGTACGTGCGCAACGAGCTGCGTGCCGTGGTCGGTGCGCGCTCGGCTCGCCCAGACCTGCACCCGCTACAGCCGCCTGATATAGACCCGCTCATGAGTTTCGACATGCCTACTCCCGGTTGGTATTATTTTGTTGATTTAATTAAATTATCTCCACTAAATTGTCATAGTTAAAAACTATACCGTATCCGGTATGGCGATGAAAAGAATCGTGTGTCTGACTTGGTAACTGCTAAGGGGTATTTTAGTCAGTATATTTAAATATTCACCGACCGTTACCTTCGAGCTATCGATATCAGTTAGAAAATTACATATCTGATTAAACATTAGAAACTAAATCTATCGTTTAAATAAGTAACTAAATTAAATCATCGGTGTTGAAGAAAGAAAGACTAGTTACAGCCTAATATGTATTTCATTCATGAAAACGACTGCCTACGTTCAGAACTTGCGGTGACAAATGAATTTTCTCTGTATGACAATGTTTCTCGTTTAATAAGATACCTAGAGTTAATACAATGAATTTTTTTTTCTTATGAGTATTAAAAACGACGGTGTCGGACACGCGTTTTATAAACATTGTCAGTGTAGGGGATAATCACTGCCAATGTATACGTGTGTACGTACGTAGGTGGCGGCAGTTTGGTGGGGGGCCGAGCAACCTCGGCGTCGGCAAATTCGTGGGAATCGCAACAGAGCACCTCGGTAAGCTTGGGAAGCGAGCAGCGAGTATAAAATATCATCTAGTCACTTCACTTTATCGGTTTTCATTATTTTGTAGACCTTCTTATAATATTACGTCTGCTCTGCTGCGTGTGTTGTCAATTCGATCATCTTGATACTTAGCAGATGTTGAGAAATGTACCAAAAGTTAGCTCACGCTTGTGTCGTTGTTTTTGTTTTGTAGATGTTATATTCAAGATTTTCTTTTTAAATTACGGTTCAGTGAGGAAAGTTTGGTACATTCCTGAATTTTGGATAAGCTTTTGTGATGTGATGTCTAATAATGCCCCTATAATAGAGGAAACTATTTTAGTATATAAATAATTATTACAAATATTTTCTTAGAATTCTGTTCAAAAGTGTAATTTGCCATGAAGTAATTTCAGTGGCTTTTACGATTTTAACTTAAAAGTGAGCTTGAAATAGATCGGGAGAAGTCGCATGCGCAGACAAAGTGTGGTGAAGGTTTTGTGACGTTGTAGTATAATAAAAGAACAGCATTATATTTTGCAATAGTTGCTTATTGTGCGCTTATAAAACTAATAGAAAATTTTTCGTTGATACAATTACGTAGATATACCTAAGAGGATTGCATGGCGGTAATTGAAATTTGAATCAGTCCACACTTTTAGACATAATTTGTATCATACACGAGTAACGATCAGATTAATTACTTCCCTCTAACAATGTTGAAACATTCCTAACATTGTATTTGTAACAACTTTACTATTGTACCTATTTTCGCAAATAAATGTTAATTGTTATTACTGTTTTACCTTCAGTGGATTAATTTATAAAAGGATTTGTTGTTTTAACTATTAACGGAGACAGTGTCTTCATACGCCCTATACATGTATGCAGTGTAACTTTGTTCTCTAATCACGACTGTCATCTCTATTTACACCTAAAGCAACGTTTATTTAAAACACTTTAATATCTTGATCGTTCCTCGTGTAAAGTGAAAAACTTCTTTCTATCTTTGGCTTTCTAAAAGTATATTAAAAGGAATCCATCTGTCTAAAAATAGGTAATATTGAGAAAAGTAAATAAAAAGTTAGAAATAAAAGTACGTATAAAATTATATGTAGGGACGTAAAATTCATTCATTCGTCCATAGTTATGGATGTAAAAGCTATTGTAAGAATTCTTAAAATCTGATAAAATATTTAAATTTTGAACATAATGTGTTAAGATTTATTAATAAATTTATGACTAACAAAAAGTTAAGTACTAGATTTTAAGTGCTGCATTGATACCATAATACTAATGTTTAAGAATAAAAGATACACATTTCATACAGCTACATATACAGATTCCACTCTATTTAGTACTATTTCGCTTATTGGTGCTCTCTTAAATAGTGGCCCTTGTGGGACGTCACTGTTAAGTTTTTTGGCACGACGGTAACAAATGGAGAAGTATAGTACACCACAGAGCTGTAACGTTTGTGTTGGCCAGAATACTACGGAGGCGGTCTCGGCGGAGGCGGGGTCGGCGGGTCCCGCGGCGGGCGGTGATGAGGCGGGGGCGGCGGGGCCGGGCGGCGCGGCCACGAAGGCGTCGCTGCTCCAGAAGCTGCTGTCGCAGTGAACCCTGGGAGCCCAGCGCCCCTTTGTTGCGCGTGGCGCCTCCCCACACCCCACAGCTCTCATTGAACTTTGCATTTATTCATTTGTCGCTCGTTTCAACGGACGTTAGTGGACAGGACTAAGATTCCAGCGTAACGAACGTCCTCGTTCTGAGTTACGGTCTACGAGGTACCTCTGCGGCTGTAAATCTCACTCGCGTGAGAGTAATATAGTACATACACGTATTTATAGACGTTTTTAAATGTAGTCTAGTAGTGCTAGTGATGTTTTCGAGTTGTAAAAATCATTTCGTTATTGATATTTACTACATTAAGTTCTATGAGAAACTATAGGCATAGTATTTTATAAATATGTAAGTAGGTATGTATCTTTAAATGTGCGTAATTGTAACGATAAGCGAATCGATCCAAAATTCGTAGTTTCCTGTGATGGAAAAAAAATAGTGATTTCCAAAATATAATATCGACTATCGACTCGTGTGCCCCGTAACACATACACATACACAATGTACAATAGAAATATACTGCGTGCAATATTGTATAGAGATAAACCCATATTTTGGCGTTGTGAACGTTTATGTATTATAGTATGAAAGTCAGATGTTACCTGTTATGACAAAGTAATTTGTATTATAGTAAATGATGACGAGATGTATGAAATCGATTCTCATGTGGAGAATATTATTTTTACGTGTAAATAATAATGTTGTTAAATTATGAATGTTGCTTTATTGTAAATATTTTGTTAAAAAATTTCTTTGTTTCGTGTATGGTACAATATTATTTAGTTTCAACCAATTTATGATATTGATTAAATAATTAGAAAGCTTATTTTTATGTTTTTCCAATATTTACCTGATTTAAATTAATTTTCACGGCTTGGTTAATGTTATAATCGCGGGTAATGTTTTCTGTGATTTATCCAAAATTACAATGTTATAAATCTTTTTTTCATGAAATCCATAATAATTGTAACGGAATGATTATCTTGCTTTAAATAATATTTCATGCTCTGTATGAAGATTACATGACATTAAATGTACATAAAATATGAATGTTAATAGTATGCTTATAAGTTTTGAATTGTAACCTTATAAGTATTTGTCTGTGATTATAACATTTACAAGTTTTTAAATATAGAGTAAAACCCCCTTTAAATAGTATCAAATCTGTTTATTGAAGTAGTGGTATGTAACGGCTTGGGTTTTTTGTTTATGAAAATAAACTAGCAGTAAAATTCAACTGCCAGAAAATAAAATAGATTTTGTACAATTATATGTTTTAGCTTGGTGCACATATGTGCATATAATGAATTCGATGTGAAATCAAAATAAGATATAAGTAACCAAATAATAAAGCGTTATCCAATAATGCACAATAACGCAGTGCGTGATCGATTCGATACGACTTTACGAGAAGTTCTAAAATTAGATGCTTGTTGCTTATTTTTGCTAAGTGCATTGGTTTGTTGTGTGTATTGTTTTACTTGAATGCAAGGATAAATTTAAGGAATACTCCTTTTTCGAAAATTGCATACAGCTTTAAACAGTCTTTCTGAACTTCCAATAAAAACTTAGTTATGATGTACCTATCTAGAAATCTGTGCACTTAGAAAATGTAAGCCTATGAAGGACCCATGGCATAGAATGTAAAATTTATTAAATAGCAAAAGCTTTTAAACTGTAGTGAACATGTCAGTTCGGTGGACTTAATTATAAACTTTGTTTAGCACCGACAGAAAATCATTTGGATTATTTTATTTTAGAACTGAAGATTTGAGCTAGTTTATAATAACAATGTTTATAGTTAAGGGCAAAGCGTGTAAGACACCGTGTACAAGTTTACTTGATATTGTAGAGGGTACCAATCTAAGTGTGCAACTGTGGTTAATATCATTGTTGAATGTCATCTTTAGTAATTATACATACAATTTTAGGCACGAAATCGCCATTTCAGGTAGTGCAAATGTTAGTGACAAATATCACGACAAGGTCGGTCACTCGAGTCTTAGAAGCTAACACTGCTTGAAGTGGCGTGTAATTTTGACGTAACAATTTAAGCATACTAGATTTGCACATTATTGCATAGTACTAAATAAATATATGTTAACTTAAAGTGTAATAATAATTAAAAATGTATGCATTAAGAGTCCGAGGTGTGGGGGGTTTCCTAATAATGGTCTAATACGTGTAAAATAAAACTCCTCTCGTACAATTTTCAAAAGTATTTTTGGTTGGTTTGTTTTTATTTTTGGCTATTAGACCATGATTAAAACTTTGACAGTCACAATAACAAGCACTACACCATTTACTTGTACAATTTGATCAAATAACTGACAAGCGATCGATGACACTAGTGTCAAAGATCGCTACCAACAGTTGTGTTATATAAAGAGGAATTGTATAATATTAGTATTTGCACAGATTCTACATTTTAATTATAATTTCGGTGACTTGCCATAGCGCAAACGTTATTAAGTACTTAAAAATTAGGGGGTTCACTCAATTTAGGTGATAATACAAAAGTAAGTTTCCTTGTATGTATATTCATTTCTTTTTCATAACAGTAGTTTTCAGAACACCAAACATAATATGTAGGACATAAATACATTAAAGAAATAAATTGTGATGTGCTATAACTAAATAATGAACGTACAAAATATCTTTAGACAATCAGCATCCTGACTTAAATGAGAACTGTCTATAAAATTATATATAAACTATTTTTGTATCATAAAAAAAAAATAGTTTGGAAGTACGCCACTGACCAATCTCATTTTGTCACTGTTTTTGATAGAGAAGAACACAATATTACAGCTGAGTTGATTTTTTATGTAGTAAGGTAAGTAACGAAATCTTACGACAAACATGCTGGCAACATAGTTCATTCCGTTAGTTGAGTTTGTAAAAGAGAATCACATGTTAATAGATATATCTACAAGTAAAGTACAAGTTATGGCCTTGTTACATGGAATTTTAGTAAATAAATAAGCCTGGAGATAATGGAGTCTAAATAAGAATATTCTGGGAAATGGTACACAACACTACCTAAACTCAAACTATACAGAAACTGTACTATGCTTTTTGTAAATGCATTCTTTCCTTCATATTGTACATTGTAACACCCAAACCAATGAAAAATTAATAATTCACAAATGTATGTAAAATCTATTTACTTGTAACTGGTCGCTAGATGGGACAGCATTAAATGCCGTCACTTAGTTTACCTATGACATCTCAATGAGAATTAATGTACACAAATGTTATATTTTTTGCAGATTTATGAAAACATAACTAGTTTATGGTAATCAATATTATATTATAACGTTTGAAACACGTCCATTACATGATACTGTTCTTCTGTTTGATGTAAATAATAGTCATGCTATAAAAAAGCGCAGGTGCCTGAAAACTATAGATAAAAAGATATTTTTTCATCATCAACTTTATATGAAATAAAACGATTATAACTATTGAATATTGAAACAGATTCTAGTAATAAATATGCATAAAATATTGAGTAAATTAATAAGTCTGCAACAACAAAATATTCCATTAAAATATAAATCATTTCGACGACGTAAATCTAACTCATTGTAAATAAATCACATCGAATTTAGATTTGACGCGATCGGATGACATATATGCAATAAAAATATTTACATAACACATTGTGTAACAGTTATGATTCTAATGAAGTGAGGTGAAATTAACCGCAATGCCTTTGAAAATAGATTACTGAAGCCACAATAAATAACTACCATTGATGATATTTGTAAATTTTAGTCTTCCAAATCTATACGTAGACTGGACTGTGTGTAAGGGAAGTTTTCAAGCTGATTTTTGATCGATTTCACTCTTGTAGAATTATCCGTATACTTGTATGATTTCTTTGCGTTTTTCTTTGTTGACAAATATTGGCAAGTAAATATAAAATTACCACCATTACCACAAACCAACCATTACAACCATTTTATTAATGAAAAATATTAAGCTTCTATGTCGTTAATATTTTATGTTTCCGTATTGGGACGTTTTAATACAGAAACCATCTTTCAAAACGCGTGTGACAGTAGTAGTAATTATATCATTGGTATGTGCAACACCATATGTTTTTTTCTACCATTAGGCTAGTTCGAAGCTCACTTTTCAATTATTATTAAAAACCTGTTTTTATTATTAAAAAAAAACCCTCGGTTTTGTATGTCAATGGTTTTAAGTAACATTTTTATTGAAATTCTTAAGGGCATCTCAATCGCATTACCTATAGTCGCAGCAAGAGTGTTACGATGATAACCAACAAGTTATGTTCAGGATGACTTATAACATATCTTTGTTTATTAATAAAAGAAATTGTCTATTTAATTGATTTCTGCAGCTTGAATATTTAACTTATTAGCTACATTTCATTGATATTTGACGTAGTATCGATATGGCCTTTTGGCAAGCTCAGTGTTCCAATCTTAAAGCACAGCATGTAATGTAAATCATCAACGAAACTAAGTATTCCTAAATATAAATATTTATTTTGATAACACAACATTTGAATTTTAAAAAGTCTGTATAAATAAATCTGGCATGTAATGAAATTGTCTAGTGTGTAATTTCTTAGAAAGATATTCGTCTTAATGTAATGGATTAATACCTCGTAAACTCAATTTGGTCGTCCTAGTTCATAACGAAATTGTACAAACCGCTATATAACCTGACATGCCAAGGAGGAAGTCTACATTTGGAAACGCTAGTGTATGCTGATATTGATATATAAGTATTTACTTACTAAGTCTTCTAATTACTTATAAACTATTTACTTTCAGAATTGGTAGATTCAATTCTGATAATTTCTTATATCTATGGAATATTCGAAATTAATGGTATGTCGAACATATTGTAAGGGCATGATAGATTTTACTTTATTACAATTCTGGAGATATTGGTATATACGAAATGTTACTATATAATTTGATATTTTATATATGGAGATTGAAATAGCGTTTTAATTT